GGTCTCACTAGTGCCTTCAAAAGTACAAAAACACCACACGCAAACTTCATGGTACAGACACTTCCTTCAGTCAGGACAAGGTGCTTCGGGGGTGATAGTTTAACTCTTCCTCAGCTTCCACAGAGTGGAAATAGATACTTCAGACACCACTGGAGAGCCACATGGTCTGATTTCTCGCCGTGTGCACTAAGTAACCCTCAGAGCAATTCTCTCTGCAAAAGAACGATACTGTGCATGCACAGGCAAGTCACTCGCGTGTGAGCGATTGCAAAAGTCAGTCCGTGTGCATGTGAATGAACCTGTGCACGTGAATGAACCTGTGCACGTAGGTGGGCTCCTCTTTATGCTTCTGAGAGTGCCTGGGCATGGAGGTGAGAGAAGGAAGCTGATACATTACAATAAATGACCAATTTCAGCTTCCTGCCAGCTCCTTCTCTCCCACAAACACAGGCACCTGTCCATTCACACCAACACCTGGGGCAGTTTTTAAGCAACTCGCACTGCTCCATAGTAGCCTGGATGCCTGAAGATTAGAGCTCACCGTGGTGGAGGGATAAGAAACCAATGCTCTGGGAAAGGAAAGGGACACTGAAGATGTACATACTGCAAAAGTCTTGCCAAAGGACTTTTTTATTTGCACATCTCCATGGTTTCTTCTGAACCCCTCCTATTTCCCGCTTCAGAGAGTGGGAGTGCACACTACTGAGGTAGAAAAGCAGCAGTCTGAGAATCTAGAAGCGAGACAGAAATCACCAACACAGTCCAAGATAGGAAGATAACATACAGTGTTATTTACACACAACAATAAAATGTGGAGGAACCGGGGTAGGTTGAAGCAGCCAAGAGAGGCAGGTTAAAGAATGCCCCCCCCTCATTCCCTGTTCCTACAAGCTGCACCTCCCAGGATTCTAATCTAATCCTGCACACCCTGCTTGTGCCTGGCTCAATGTAACCCTCACACCTGCAATAAAAGAAATCAGTGCAAACAATTTACAGACTCCTGAGATACCACGGTCTTTGCAGCAGAAAAAACCCCAGATTCTGCACAGCAACGGCTGGCAATGACCTCACCTCCAAGTTTCCTCAGGGATGGGGCTTGGGTTTTACTACGTTGACACAGGATTTTAAAGCAAAGGGGGATCACTGCACATCCTGCCTGCAAGCACAGCTCACTGACACCAGCTGTGCTCCCTCAGAGACACACCCTTCTGCTCAGGTGGGCCAGATGAGGCACTGCTGGGCACAGAAGAGAACACCAGAGGTAGCAGGAAGAGTTGCCTGACCCAACATCTTTTCCATTCAAACAGCATTGCAGCAGCTCTGGGAAGTGGCAGTGCCTTAGAGTGGGGGGTCTTCCCTGGGGAAGACCTGTTGCTGCACTTGTCCCTTCAAGCTCTGCTGCCAAGCCAGGGGCAAACAGCAGTAAAGGCAGGGTGCAGACCTTGCTCTCAAGACCTCTGTGCTTTCCTGGTGTTTTCTCCCTTGCCAACACCTCATTCACCCTTGAAATAATAAAGTTTTCCCGTCTCCAGCATTCACTTGCAGGAGCAAAGTGTGCTGTGTAGCAGCTTGTAAAGATGAGAAAAACATTCCTACTGGAGAGCCCACTCCACAGAGGTTAGGGCCTGTCAGCAGCAGGAGTAAACAGACTGTCTCCAGCTCCTCGGGTTTCTTGGCAGGGAGGCTGTATCCTGCCTGTTACAACTTGTTTTGGATGACAACAGGCCACATTTCATGTGAAGAGGGTGCCCATCTTCAACTCACATCAGCCTACTTGTTTTTCTTCACTCAGCTGTAAACACGTTTAAGATTCCTATAAATACCTATTGGGCAGCAGACCAGTCAAACATGCTCAATTAAGAGAAAAAAAAAAGGAAAGAAAAAGGCAAGCCCCACAACAACAATAGAAACATGGAAACACCCTCCTGCCCATGAGAGAACAGTCCTGTCAATAAAGCTCACAAATTTTTATCTTTTACCAGACTACTGCTCATTTTAGCATCACCTTCAAAGGGAACCCATTCTATCCTCTGTCCTTCTCCATCTCAACCTCCCTGACAGCCACAAACAGCCCAGATCAATTTTGTCCACATGAATCCCAACCCATGGTGTACACCAAGCACAAGGTCTGCACCTCAGGCTGATCCCTCAACCTTTGACTTTGACATTACAGCAAAGTGAACCTCACACCAGAGCCTGCCCCAGCACGTGGGGATGCAGCATCATGGATGCCAATGGATACCGACGATTACAGCATATTCTCCTTGACTCCTTATTCTCTTTTATCCAAACTATCTATATGCTTGAATTTGTTGCATAGCAGAGCTGCACATACATCAAGGAAGGAGAGCCAGGGCCTCAATTTTTAAGTATCACTTACTCAAACACACTCACCCCGACCATCTGACATTTGCTTTCTCCACCACTCATCTGGAGGGTGAAGAGGCGGAGAGGAGCATAAAGTTGGGGAGGGATCCATCATGCCTAAAGACTTGCTCTAAGGCACTGACTTGGGAGCAAGGGGGTATCACAGGGGCTTCTGCTCCATTCCATGCATGGCTGAGAGGAAAAGGAATATTTTCTGTGCCTCCTTATAGCCTTTCATGAGGAAGACTCACCTCTCTGGAAAAAGAAAACATACTTGGCTTTTCAGATACTGACTGTTCTATTCTACAATGCCTTTTAGGGAGACAAGAAGATACAGGAGACAGAAACAGTTATCTCCTGTAGATCTCCTTCCAAGCCCAGCAGCTCTTCCTCTTTCTGCCCCAATGGAGAAGCCTCTTAGCCTTTTGCTTAGAAGAATTACCCAATAAACAGCCTTTGTATTTTATCATTAATAACTGAGGAGGCTGTTGCATCAGATAAGTTGAGGTGGCAGCTCTTGGTTGGTCCCAAGTGTGATTTGCAGTAGGGTTCTCATCTGGGACATGCAATGGAACACAATGCAGAAACAAGGGGGAAAGTATTAATTGCTTTGAGAGGCACTCCCTCCTACACTAGCTCCCTGGGATCTTCGGAAAGAGTCACCACGTGGAGTCACAAACACAGCCATCCCTGTCCCCAGAGAAGAAAACATTACTTAGTTTTAACAGGCAAAAGAAAACAAATACTATTTGTCTTTCGCTCAGATTTCTGATTTCTTTTAAAACAAAACAGGCTTGTAGAGGTAGTAGGGCAAGAGGAAGGGTGGGGAGGGTCACGGATTAACGTTCCTCCTGTTAGCAGGTTCCAGGATTCTGGCCACAAGGCCAAGAAAACACGACACCAAGTGCCCAGTGTGACCACAGCCCTCCGTGATGCTGCAGAGCTGCGAGGCACTGCCAGCTGGAGGGTTTCACCCTCCCACCCTTTCCAGCAGCATTTTAATCCTTCTGCACGCAATGAGCAGCAACGTCTCCGGTGGATTTGGGAGAAACTGGACTTTTATATAATTGAACTTCAAAGTAATTATTTTTCTCATCTTCTGTTTTAGTTGCTAATAACTGTAATCATGTCACTGCTTTCCATTTCAATGTTATAACAGAATGACTTTTGTAACAGAGATGTAAAAATAACCCTGTCTAAAAGCAAAGAGGAAGAACCCAATTCATTAAAAAAGTTGTTTGCTCTTGCACATCTCTGCTGTCCTCATGCTCTTTGCCCATTTCTCCAATCCCCTCCACCTCCCTTTGCATTGCTGGCAGAAAAAAGACCATCACCTGTACAGCTCCAAACACCTGACTCAGCCCCTCTCCCCTCATAACCACTATTTTAAATACTTCTGAGCAGCTTGTTTTCTCCCTTGCTGTGCTACACAAGTCCTCTGTACACCTGTACAGTCTTGTCTAAGGAACTTTGGAAGGGGTATTGGCAAAGTGGAGTACAGTAAGAGGCTTGGTGAGATGGTGCAAAAGATGTAACTCAAAGTAGACTTGTAGTGCAACCCATCTCCTCATTTCACCAGGAATGAGGAATTCCACCAGGCACAAAAAGCAGATTGCAACTAGAGGATTTATCCTAACCAAAGAAATCAGATTTGTTACCCTGCTGGAACAATAAATGTATGATTTTAGCCTTAACATCACATATAATACAGAACAAATGAACAAGTTGAAGTCCTGTAGTGGACTTTGTGGGAGTAGACATTCATGGTACTCCCCACACAGCCACAGTTTAAAGCTTTAAGACTGAAACCAAGCCTGACTCATAGAAGTAAGAATTAGGAGGTTTATAACATGTTAAGAAGGGACCAATATACCGGAAAGTATTATTAGTTGAATACTCATGTCAGTTAAGAAACTATTATCAAATTAGATTAACTCCAAGCACTGCTATTCTTTTAAAAACAACACCAACAGCATCATAGGCTTTAAAAAAAAATGAGACATTTGAAACTTTCCTGTAACTGTAAAAAAAGGAGAAGCATAAGAACCCACAAGTCATTGATAAAAATAACTGTTTTGCCATACTTCGGGGGGAGAAGAAGCTCAGTGCACTTTGCATCATCCCCGCCGTTCTCCTCAAAGTTTGCACAAAGCGAGCCCGTTACTGGGCGGGCGGTGCGCCTCTCCAGGGTATGCATTCCCTCCTCCTCTGCATACGCTTCTCCTCGCATCAAAGCGATATTCAAAGCATCTTTGCTGCCTTCCAGATTGGCACCGAGAACCAGAGACACCTCAAAGCCCGTGTCTCCGGGCTCTGCAATTCCAGCACGGTCGCATTTGGACAGGTCTCCCCACACAGAGCGAGGCGAGCGCCCAGAGGCCAAAGGCAGGGAAGCGAAACCCCCAACGCCCGTCTCCATCCTGGGGGACAAAGCCCCGCTCCGACCCCCGGAAGCAGCGGGGCTGCGCTCACCCCTCGTCCCTCCCTGGCCTGGAGAGGGGGCTCCGCACCGGCTCCCGAGCGGGACGGACCCCCCAGGGCCGCGCCGGGCTGCGAGGGACGGGACCCCCCCTCCGCCCTTCCAGCCCTTCCCCGCCTTCCCCTCCTCCCGCGGCGCGCCGGGGGTCACTCACTGCGCTCCGGGGCAGCCCCGCCGCCCGCCGTGGCCACCAGCTCCAGGTAGGCGGCCCAGAGCCCCAGGGCCAGCGCGCCCAGGGCCAGCAGCAGCCGCAGCAGCCGCCGCCGCCGCAGCCGCGCCAGCAGCCGGCCCCGCATGGCGCCGCTCAGGGCGCCGGGCCCCCGCCGCCCCGGGACATGCCGCTCCCGCCGGCCCGGCACCGCACGGCGGCCTCGGACCCCCCGCCCGCCTCCGCGGGGCGGGCCCAGGTGCGGGGCGGCGCCGCGCCCCCGCGGGGCAGCTCCCGGGGCAGCTCCCGGGCCCGCTCCGCCGCCGCCCCCCGCACCTGCCTCCGCCCCGCGGGGGCCGGGCCGGGGGCTGCGCCGGCACCGCGTCGGGGCCGCGCTGAGGGCCGGGAGCGGGGACACCCCACCCGAGGTCTCCGCTCCTGCCAGGGCCACGGGAAAGTCGCCTCAGAAGCGAAGGGGGCTCCCAACCCTCCCTCAGTGCCGGCGGGAGCATTGGGGGATCCCTCCGGGAAGAGGCGTTATCATTTCCCGTCCTCCCAGCGGAGCGAAGCAGGATGAGAGAGGGCAATTCAAATTCACACAGTTATTACACGCAGCTGAATCCATCTTAAAGCGTCTTTCGGCTGGTGCAACAAGTGTATTTGCTTGGAAGCGCTTTGCTCGGTGAGGAGGAACGGGGCTCGTGAAGTCTCCAGACCCGCTTTCCGGAGCAGCTGGCTGGACGCGATGTTACGCTGCTCAGACCCCCCGCAGGGAGGATGTCGGAGGCCCATAGGAAGGACAGGACCTTCCCTGGGTGAACGTTGTGCTTCGTTACACATCTCGAGCACGCTTTCGAAGTGACTGTCAGAGTCCCTCCCATGCTGTTGATTTCGTTCACATCACCAAGGTGTCTCGGAGGATGCGAACTGATTGCTCCTGGGTGAAGTGACAGTGGGAGATGCTGTCTGGGATGTACATCATGCGGCCAGCAGGGGAGCCAGTCCAGAACTACCCCTTTCCAAATATGTATGATGTGAGTGTTGGGCCATTGGCAACAACCGTTTCCCTTTACAGCTCTGCTTCTGTAGAGATGCAGCTCTTGTGCTGTGTGGAACCATGAAAAGAAACCCTTCGGCTAAAGTTAGTTTTGAAAATGCATGCAATAACGACAGACCTTTTTTTTTTTTTTGTGACTTTTTTCCACTGGAGCCTTCTAAAGTGGGAGGCTGCTTAGAAGAACACTTGCTGTTATTTGGCTTAGAAAACGTGCCAAAGGCATTTTAAATGGCATTGAGGGACACGGAACTGTGGTGTGAGTCCCAGGAGGGACAGGCTGACATTGGCAGAGTGCCAGCATCTCAAGTGTTGCACGGACCGGGAGCTGAAGCAGCATCCGTAGTCCCTGGCATCAAGTGCTGTACACTGTGTTCCCAGCATCCAGGCAGCACTGAGAGACACTGCTATTACCTGTCACACACTGGGATGGACCAACAGATGATGGATTTCCTTTTTATGAATGTCTCACAAAGGTTGCAGAGCTATCTCCCTTCTCTTGATTAGGGAAAGCACATCCAGGGAGTTTTACATCTCAATGCAGAGCTGGAAAGACATGATTTTTCTGAAGTTGGAAACAAACCCCATGGTGAGGGAGGCTGGTGAGTGCCTCCGCCCTTGGGCTTCCCAGCCTCCCTGTGAAGCAGTCCATTCTGCAGGTTTTGAACTTGTGTTCCTCCTTCCTACCTCACTGGAGGCCACAGATGTACATCCACCATCTAAGCTTGAATAATGGGGGTACTTCCTCCAGTACAAACAGAAAGGGCTGCTCACAGCCAGGCCCCTGGTACCCCCACAACTGAAAACAGGGAGCTGTGCACCACTTTAATCATTGGAGGGCAGGCATCTCAGGAGGCCAAGACACTCACTGCTAGAGTTTTTTGGTAGAGTGTTGGTTTGGGTTTTATCTGACATGAGAGAAATAAACAAAGTTTTTATAGTTGTTCCAAAAAAGAGAAAAAATACTAAGAAAAAGGTGTAATAAATACAGATCTAAATTAAAATTTATTTGCCATTTAAAGAATGAGAATTGAATGATGTATTCTTAGCAGGAAGTTCTCTGCATTTCTTAAATGAACAACCTTATGCTTGAAGAATTACAACTGCACTTTTTTGGAAATTTGTTGCATATTAAAATAAGTAAGCACATTTCTTTCTTTTGAACATGGTACTAAAATGGAGGGAAGGGAAAAGCAAAATTAAAGGCTAACAGTAGTATTGTTGACTTCTAAAGAAACAAAGTCTTTTTCCTGATAGAACTATGCTATAATGAAGATAGAGAAAAGCTCTTGTCTCTGGAGAAAAAATGAAGAAAATGACTATGGCATGGTGATTTCTATCTGTTACAATATAGTTACAACAGAACAATATTAAGGAACAAAATTAATCTGAATGTGTAATAAATAGTGAACTCAGGAATTTGAATAGCTATACACTGTACTTAAAATAACTAATGTTGGACCACTTATTCATTGCAGAAAGCACTGATGTCCAGGAGTAACATTACCACTGACAGTAGTGTTTTAAAACCACCTCACATAAATGTTATTATCTCAAGTCTACCAGCAGTCTTATATTCCCAAATTCTCAAGCACCCCAAGACACATGAGTGCATGCCCAGATGGCCACATCTCTCATCCTCACTGGGTGCAATATGGTAGCAGTGGAAACCACAGTTTATAATAATCCTGTATGGTGGGATTAACCCCATCAGGGAAAGAAACAGCTGGAATCAGTGATGCAGGAATAGGGTCTGTGTTGTATGGAGGTGACTCAGGGAGCTGGCACTCCTGACAGACCACCCTTGGATATAACAGATCGCTGGTTTCAGAACACACCTCTCCCAGCCTACCCTGAATACGCATTTCAAAGAACCTGACTCTTTGCCAAAGGAGCCTACTGGAGTATTTTTTTTGCTTTGTTTGAGCTGCTGTTTGTTTTCCATTTTGGCTATGTTTCCTCATGATAAAAGCAGCCTTTGATACAAGTGCAGCACTTAATGCACATCTCCTGTTCCTCCCGGCTCCCCTCTCTAGATCCATCTCTGTACATCCCTGCCTCTCCTTGTTATACTTTTGCTTCTAGTTATCTAACAACTGTTTTTCTGTTCTATAAATTACTTTTAGCTCCATGCCAACAATCCTTTCTCTGTAGGCTCCCCAAGGGTTCAATTATCTGCCACTTGCTCCTTCCCTTCTTTTTTCTTGTGTGATTTTCAACACTAATTACAAGCTCCACACCAAAGATACCCAACTGTCCCTAGACTTCACCATCCCAGTGGCTCCACACCCCTTTTCCTGGCCTCAGCCATGCTCTGAAGCACAAACAACAATTTCATCTCAACACTCCTCATCGAAATGGCTCAAAGGCAGAAGTGTTTCTCAGAGGAAAAGGCAGTCTCTGAAGACACAGTTCCCCATTATCTCCCTTTTTGGCTCCTCAGGACTGGACTGGGCTCTAAAAGGCATTACTGGTGGAGCAATCCCAGAAAAAACCCCGTTAATGCCACAGTTGAACATCACTGTAAGGGAATCAGTGTGGTCCCACAATCAACAACCCATTAGCAAAAGGACCTCCTTGCCCAGTTAAGTTGTGCTGATACAGTGAGTTTTGCTAAGGTAGTTATATTTTACCAGTACAGTTACACTGTCAACATTTGTACGAGCTGACCTGAGTTGGGTTTTGAGACTTCCTTTTGCTGTACACATGGCTGTGCTCCCTCAGCACTGACTTTGACTGACATTGCTCTCCTACAACTTGCCTGTCTGGGTGGAAAGCCTCATTCATGATTCTCTCTTTTCACTGTGTAACTCTCCATAGGTCTCAAGCCCCAACTGTCCAGAATAAAGTTACATAGAAATGGCTGCCCTTCCTTTTCCTCAGTAAGGAGGGCACATTTTCACATGAACTTCACCCAGTACCTCTAGGAGTACCTTCTGATTGCAGGTCCTGTCCCAGGAGTAGACCTGAATTACTTCCTGCACACCAGAACAATCTCTTGATATCTAGAGCACGTTTTCACTTGCAGAAAGAAGTTTTTATATACTTTAAGCTGAGAACTTTCAAAAGACTTTCCATGGTTTATATATTTACCATAATGATGTATCTTTGTATTCCATCATTTTGGAAATACATGCTTTCAAATCTGAAGTCTTGCCTAAATTTCCTCCTTTCCCTGTCTTAAAAGTACTAGTGCTTGGTTTGTATTTTAAGTGACTGTGCTCATCATCCTTACTTTTCAAGAAGTTCCACAGTCTTGTTATTAGGGACATAACAGAACATTGTTGATGAACAGCATCCCCTGTAGATATCTGTCTACCTGAGCTAGGATTGAAGAGGAAAAACTGTTTTACTGGATGGTTTAGAAGCACTTACAGTGAAAGAAAGGCAATTCAATCTCTGAATCACTACAGGAGAATCGAGCACCTCCTGGATGTGCTTCACCAGGATAAATCCAGAGCTTTTTATTAAAATCAAATCCATTTCAACAACAAATCCCTTCACACCTGTGCAGTAAAATCATTGTCTTGCTTTAACATTGAAGCACTTCTGTGTTAAAAGCCTTTCTAAGTTTTCTGAATAAAATCAAATAATCTATATTTACACATTTGTAATCTGTCCCCAGTCCAACAGCATCGCAATTCTTAAAAAATGCAATTTAGTCAGAATAAGTGAACAGCCAGTTTGTAAAGCTGGATTTCTGGAGCTTACTTGAAGGGCAGCCACTCTAACCCATATTCAAAGATGCCCTTTCTCCAGCAGTTCATTTGGTGCTAAACGGGAAATACCAGAAGTCCACTCCACTCTTCTTAAATACTTGAGTTACAGCAGAAATATTTCCTGCTAGTGAGTTAAATTCCAGTTACCTCTGATGGCCAGCTTCAAACAGAAAGTCCTTAACTTTTGATGCAACCTAAGAATCAAAACAAACTTTGCTCTTTGTGCCTGAAACCTTCCAAAGAGCCAGAAGGGATCATTGCAGCTTCCACCTCTCACACTTTCTACACTGTATCCAATCATGTTTTGGTGCATGAACCCAGTCCACAGGCTAAAAAATGTATATACTTCTACAGCGAGACTTGCAAATTTAACAA